AAGGAAGTAGACAAATAAAATCAAACCCTGGACGTCTAGCTCAGCTGACCCATTGGAAGATTTGTGACCACTAAATCATCGCAAAAGCCTAGTTACGAGATCCAGCCAGGATTGAATGAGACTCCATTGTATAAATACAATAATTTGGGAAAGAAAAGCACTGAAACAAAACTATTATCAAACTATTATTATAGTGGCTGAGCTGTGTATAATAAACTCATTAGTTTATTTATGCTGGTATATTAGTTTCAGCATATAAACATGTTTTCATAGTTACACACCCACAACTACAAATAATCACGTTTGTAACACCAGGTGTTGTGGTCAGTTCAAATTTTTATCATGTATCCTGGCACTTTTTTAAAGTTCTCCCAACTTTAGTAGCCTGTAATGCTTTAGTAGCCCCCGGATATGCAAGTCTGGGGCCATGAACAGGAATATGCTGCACAGACATTTTTTAACATCTCCTTTGGGTGGTCCAACATGGTTTTCTTTATGTTTAGTGGAGGACGGTTCATTGCTGAAGGTCAAATGAAGTCCATTGTGTCCTAGCAGTCATTGTACATAGGCTTGTTTGTCAAGAAAGGTCAGCTGAAATGTGGGATCAGTGAAAAGCAGGATAGGAACCTAACTGAAATATTCATCTAACTTTCATTACTTGGTATTATTTTATTTTTAAAACCCTCATTATCTGACAGGACAAGTTGTTTTTTTTAAATATTCATATAGCTCTTAGAACACTTGAAGAGCTATTCCCTTAAATCTTCCAAAAATAACATCTTCAGGGACAACGCAAGTATGGGAGATTTCAGCCCAGTTAAGAAGTGTTTTGAAAACTTAGCAAATATATAAACAGAGAATATATAATGAAGACCCTGTAACCGACATGCATATGATTGATGCCCTCCATGAATGAGCTATTTAAAGCTTATTTCTGTGCACTTAGCCCCCACAAACCGGACCGCAGAATCCAGACTGTAGTTCCTGCTGCCGTGGTGACTTTGGAGTTCGACTCTACCAAGGGCCCCCAGGACCTCCCGGGCCCCCTGGGATGCCAGGTAAAGATGAAGTTTAATTGATTTTTCAACCAGTCTAAATACAGGCTAGAAATTACAGGCTACTCTATGAAATATCAGAGAATGGTCCAAACATCAGTATTTGGGGACAGATTCAGAAACAAGTTTTTCTGTAATTTCTGGGGAGACAGAAAACTCTGAAGACTTTTCCAGTGAAAACCCATTTGCTATCAAGATTCAGCTTTCACAAATTCATACTGAAAGTAATCTTATTACATTTCTAGGGCAAATTGGTCTCTCTTCTTAAAGCAGCATGAAACTTCCATTAAAATTGGAAGAACCTGTTCCCTGGAGTTGATTATTGCGATAACCTTTGATTATCCAGCTATGCTATCGTGTACTGTGTTCAAGAGCTTTTTTTCATCTAGCATACTGCTAGCCGATATTTTACAGAGACACCCATGCTTCTATTCTCTCACAGAAATTTCTTCCTTTCCTTCTTTCTTCTTGTCTTCCATAATAAAAAGTACCTTTTTTTTTTTCCATTAAAAATGCACACAACAGAACAGGATACACAAGAAAAGGGTACACTTCCATCTGATAACTGGTATGGAAAAAGAGCCTAGAGAAGGGAAAAAGATAGTTGCATGTTGGTGTAAGTTTGTTACAGCAGCTACATTCAAGGATTTGAAAATCACCGCTCCTAAAGCAGGAGTGTAAATGAACTACATATAGTGTATGTATTCATTTACATATAGTGTAAATGAACACATCACTGACCGACAGATTTGTCTCATCTTCAAAAGCTTACATCTTCTGTTATCAGAATAAAAATGCAATTTCATAATCCTTCTGTCTCACAAATGTACGGATAGTAACAGACATGACAGATAACCACACACACAAAAAATTAATATGTAGTGACTTTTGGTAGAAACAGTTTACAGTAACAGTTAAATCTGACTGTTCTGAAGTTAAATCTGAGTGAATGAAGTGTTTCAAGAACTAGCTTCAGTTGGCAAAATATTGAAATAAATTGCTACTTTGACATATTTTGGGTATTAGGCAAAATAAGCTTATAGGCATATTTAGTATTAGCCTGCTGTAAGCTATTCATGCATCAAACCTTTTGTCCTGGTTTCAGCTGGGATAGAGTTAATTTTCTTCCCAGTAGCTGGAAGTTGTCGGCTGGGGTTAAACCACAACACCTTTATAAAAATACTATGCACTACTACAGAAGTAAGAGAAATCTAATGGTGAGGCCTCTTGTGCAGAAATATTGTATTACATATTAATAAATTGTTGGCTTCTTAGAAGCGGGACACAATTTTATATTAGACCCACATTTTCAAGGCTGCAGTGGACATACTGGGACACAGCCCAGTCCCAGCCTTGCCCTTTCCTCATGCGAGGATGTATCTCAGTCACACTTTCTTGTCACCACAGGATGCCACAAACGTACGGCCGACAGCAACCTTCTGCACCCTGGAATTTCTCTGTCTCCTTCATCTGCTGCATTTCATATCATTGTGCCCATAAGGAGAATGACAACAGCTGCTTTTCCCTTGATTGAATCAAATGTTGCTTGCAGACTTCTGTTCTGAACTGGTCGAGAAGTAGTTCTGGCTTTACATGAAGGATCATTCTTGTTATTTTTAAGAGTTATTGATTTCTCTATCCAAACAAAAATTTGCTTAATTTCTTCTACCATTTAGCTTCCTTGTTTAAAGCAAATTTTTTTCTCAATACAACTCTAAAGAATCACTTGATCTTTAGATTTTATCTCAAACACCACCATTCTTCTTGTAAATTCGTAACCAGAGTGACTAATCAGAGAACAAGAGAGTGGCAAATAATCTAATTTCAATTCAGGTAGAATTAGAACAATGATGACACTAATTAATCCCCTGAGTGGGATAATTGAAAGGTCAGGCTTTTGGTTCAGGTAGGCATAATAATTGCTCAGTAGTTCTAGCCAACTTTAAAATTTTGTCAGTTGCATAGACGTTTGCTCAGTAATTTCCTCAGTAAACATCAGGAAGTAAGTAATACTGCAGATGTAGGAATATGTTTTTAAAATGACCCTTTTTACAAGAAGCCATCTCAGAAAAGCTTCATTATAGAAATTTTGTCTTTCTTTAAATCTAGGAACATGCAATCAATCAACCCCTTCAAGCTAACAAGCACCCTGAGAATGCACACTCTCCTGTTTTTGGCAGATGGGTCATTTAGCTAGTTTAAGGCTACAGCCATTCTTTGTTTGTGTAGACAAGTTTTAAAGATAGAAAAATGTTATTCAAAATTATTTTATCCTATCCTAATTAGCTTAAATTATCAGGAAATAATTTTTTACACAAAAGGAAAAGCAAGAGTGCTTATGCAGGCTACCTGGTATGTGTCAATAGGCAGTGGCTTTCACTTTCCTTGAGCCTCACGTCCGCTGAGGTCTTGTCTTTGCATATCTCCCCAACAATGCAATGACTTGAGACATGGGCAGTTTATACAGCAACACCAAGAGGGCATGAGGGTTAACTCTTAAACATCAATCTACATCCTTCTGGAAACTCGCTCATCAAAACCTTCACCTTCAACTTAACCACACAGCTGTTTCTTATCCATCGCAGCTCAATCTGGGTTTTCTGGTACTGCAAAGTCCATGTGTTGCAAACTGGTGGAAAAGGACCCTGTCACAGTTATCTGTTAAAATATATTATATGAAATCATTTAAGTTAAACAGAAAGCTCTCTTTCCTTTAAGGAAACCATGGAAACAATGGAAATAATGGAGCAACTGGCCAGGAAGGAGCCAAAGGTGAGAAAGGAGACAAAGGAGATATGGGACCGAGGGGAGAGCGTGGCCATCATGGACCCAAAGGCGAGAAGGGTTACCCTGGGATTCCCCCGGAGCTACAGGTACAAAATCTCTGGCTTATTTTGGCTGCAGCAGTTCTCAGGTTATGGTTTTCTTCTCTGAAAAACAGCACCTAACTACTGTAAGATACTTAAGAAGTAAATCCCCCTGTAAATTAATACAATGAGAGACATATATAGCCCTTGTCATGACTGACAAATGTGCTTTGCCAGATCTTCCTGGAAAAGAAAGACATCAGGGCTTAGTCTTTCTTTAAAGTAAGAATCCAGCTGAGAAATAGGCAGGAGGAAACATATATGGTTCCCTTTTAGGGCAGAAAGACAGTATCAGGGTCATTAAAGGAGAATAGCAGGGACTATCATTTTTCTATCAAGCTGTACCACATACCTAACTGCACTTCCTATGACATATGAAAAGAGTAAAGGAGTCATTCAGGCCCATGCTTCTCAGGTCAGTCAGGCTTTGTGAGATTCTCAGAAACATATGTATCCAACTCCTCAAAGTATGGGGTCAAAACCTCTGAGTGCAGACAAAGTCCTCTGGTTTTGAAAAATACCCCTCAGTAGCTATCTGTGGTTTTATATATCTAGATACCTTAAATATGTTGAGAAGCATGTAGGTTCTGCCTATGAATGAACTACCCAAAAGCCAGATGACCATTAAAACATGGGTTCAAGCCTGAGCTGATAAGCTCTGCTGAGGGATAGGATATATTTGTTTGGGCTCAACACTGTGTTGGCATAGTCCCATAGTTTTTGCATTAGAGCTTCTTCATGTCCCAGGAATCTGGCAGATGGTGGAGAGCTTATGTGTGTATATATATATCTGCAGTACAGCAGAGATGTGATGTCCTGTTCTTAAGGCAACTGAAAGTAAATGGGACTTGGATAACTAAGACCCTTGGTTGCAGTTGCAAATAGGATATAAAAGAGTTGTCCACACTGCATACTGCAGTGTAGCAATATACGAGCAGCTCATCTGCAATAGCAGGAAGACTTGACTATCTCTATGATGTAGCGCAGCTAAGGTGCTAAAGGCAAGATTCAGATGCATGGCAAGCCTTTAAGATGTATCTCTCCTGGTCTCTAGCTGCCTCTGTGGAAGGGGCTTCTGTAGATCAGATCAGCCAGCCCTGTGTGCGGAAATCCTAAAGCTCTTCAGATGGCACTAGGTGGGCAAGTGATTGCAGTCAGATTCAGCTCCAGAGAGCCTACATGTGAGGCAAGCATCTAAGCTCCCATTAAAATTACTGAGGATCTACAAAAGCAACTCAGCTTAATCTGACAGTCACTGCTGCTTTCAGGCAAACGGGACTTCAGACACCACAGACTATATAGATCTCCAGAAACTACAAGGGAGTTTACATCCTCACTCGCAGGTACACACTTTAGTGGAAGTCTTCGTCTTGATCTGATTCATACCCCCAAACCAAGTTCACCACAGAAGGGACAAAATGGGATATAGCAAACATGCACAAGAAGAAATCCCACTTCCAAACACTCTGACTATGGGGAAAACTGAAGTTCTGATCTATTTACAGATCTATACCTTTTAACTGAAGAATACTGTTTCCCAATAACAGTCATTCATATATGTTTTATATGCTCATAAAAGGCATGCGAATTAACAGCCAAATCAACAGTACAACCACCATGTACAGTGTGGGAAAATGGCTTTGGATTTCTTGGCATTGTGTATGTTTGAATTCTCCACCCTAGGTTGCATGAAGATGGGAGAATTTTACAGAACAAAATTCACAAGGAAAATAGTTTCCAAAATTACTGGACTTTTGTAATAATGAGCTATCTGCATTTTTTTCCTACAAAAAGATAGTGGTAGTAATTTAATTAAAAACTGAATAATGAAAGAGGATGAATAACAAAAGCTCATATTGCAATACCTATTTCCAAGTAAAATTCCATCACTGTTTTTAACAGATGTGTTTAAAAATTCTTTACACAGTATAGCATATCATTTCTTGTTAACATCACGCTTAAGAATTTTAGAGTGGGGGTAGGTAGAGGAAAAAACACTTCTGAATACAATACTGTTTTAAACAGAGGATTATTTTGAAAGACTTCGCGTGTCCATGTTGATCTGCTACTTCAAAATGAGACCTAGGGTAAAAGGACATCTTTTTCAACTCTTCTGATCAGCCCAAGAAAAGTAGCCTGGGGTCAAAGAGAATGTGAAATGGAATCTAGACAAAAAGCAATAAATTCCATCAAGCTGCCATTGCAGCTGCTTTCCTTTAACACGATGAACTTTGATTTAATCCTGGCTGAGAAGCAAGAAGTTAACAATTTGCCGTCATAGAAAATGCATCCATGCAGGGATAACGAAAATCAGCCCAAGCTTTCAGCTCACATCTGGAGCTCCTCAAATTTCTGAGCAGATGGCTAATGATTTCCATTGTTGGATCCGGACTTGCATTTGATTTTGCCTGTTCTGGTTTTGTTCTCATTTGGATCTGAAATCAAAAGAAGTTTGGGGTGGTTTTTTTTTAATACCAGTATAGCTGGAATCTCATAAAAAATGTCATTTTTGTGAGGGGCAGTAACAACTGTAATTGAACACTTCTTGTCTAAGATGTTAAGAGATAGACATAAAATGCCAAGTCACTATGTGACCTTCTGGCATCCAGGTGCAGCAATTCTGCCTGTACCCCATTTACTGACAGATGGGGGGATCACAGGCTCACAAAAGAGATAACCTCTCCCCTGCCCATGCAAGTTGGCAGGGTTGTTCCCTGGTATCTTGCTGAGGGTAATTTGAATTGTCCAATGTGGAAGGTTTTCCATTGCTTTCTATGAAACATTTTCCACGGCCAATGTGTCTCACTGCAAGAAGTATAACATGAAGTCGAAGCACAGTTTTCACTTAGTTTCCTCTTTTGTCTTCAGCACCCTCTGTTGTCGTAACTGAGGGTACAGGGCAACTGGTAACAGAGAAAAAGCACTGAATGTTGAGTCCCAGCAACTGAACTTCTAGAGGATCTCTAATAAAAATGCTTAATGTATCTCTGAAGGTAGCAAGAAACACTAATGTGGATGGATTTTATCGAGCATTATTTATTTCACACATTCAGTTAAAAGCAATATCCAGTCTAAATGCATTGGGGAATATATAAAAACTAATTAAATCACTTTTGTTGGAAATACCATACATTTCAATACCAGTTTTCTGTTGCATCATTCTAGAGAGACTTAAAAGTAAATCAAATCCCAAACAAAGGTCCTGACCTGCAAACACTTGCCCATACACCTACTTTTACAGTCATGAATAGTCCAATTGAATGTAAGAAGCCTATTCCTCTTCCAGTTTCATTCAATGGGAGTTTTGTTACTGGAGTTTAATGGCCTTGGAGCAGGCCCCAGAAGAACATCTCTGTCAGGAAAATAAACAGACCACAAATACAGGAAAAAATTCTGTAGCTGATTCCTCTACACATGTAAATTTCATGAACGACTGCCTGAATAAGAACTGCGTTTTTACAGGTCGCATTCATGGCTTCCATGGCTACTCACTTCAGCAACCAAAACAGTGGAATCATCTTCAGTAGTGTTGAAACCAACGTTGGGAATTTTTTTGATGTCATGACGGGGAGATTTGGTGCTCCAGTGAATGGTGAGTGTTTGCAAAACAAAATAATGCAATTCTGGGAGCTATAGGGAGAAGAGTGGTCAATAATGATGAGAAACTAGTTAACTGCCTTTGCACAAGGCACTGATGATATTCACTCTGCACAGCTCTTGCCACCTACTTTCAGGGAAAATGAAATTGGAAACTGAGCAAGCCAAGAGGGCTTGCCAGCCAGTGAGACTAGTGCTGGCATAAAGGCAGGAGGAAGAGGCACGGCCAGAGCTGGGGAGGAAGCAGGACCATCTGCTTTGAGAACTTTAGCTCTTCAGACACTGTGATGAGATAACCATGGCCTTGATGTTGCAGCAGCAGCAGCTTCACAGTTGCCTCCTCCACCTCCTGCCTCCAGTCACCATCTTCATCTCCATCTTCCCTCATGCCAGTTCAGCTGTGCCTCCCCAGCCAGTGAGACTAGTGCTGGCATAAAGGCAGGAGGAAGAGGCACGGCCAGAGCTGGGGAGGAAGCAGGACCATCTGCTTTGAGAACTTTAGCTCTTCAGACACTGTGATGAGATAACCATGGCCTTGATGTTGCAGCAGCAGCAGCTTCACAGTTGCCTCCTCCACCTCCTGCCTCCAGTCACCATCTTCATCTCCATCTTCCCTCATGCCAGTTCAGCTGTGAGCTGGCCTGCAACAGATGTGTGGCTGGAAATGAGGCATTATAGTTTTTACTGAGTTATTTTTCAGCTGCATCAATCCCCCATCTTATGCAGCTGTGGCACAGGAAGAACAATAGGAGACTGGGAGGCAGGACCATAACCAAAAACATGTCTAAGCAAAGCCTGAGACCGCCTTCCTTCACTTGGCCTTTCTCATCCTGCCATTCATTTACTCACTGCTATGGGAAATGATACTAAATTAAATAAAAGTCAGACCCTCCAAACTTGCTGTAGCACATCTTACTGACAGTTAGGGGTGTGTGTCCTCACAGATGCTTCCTTTTGAGATTAATGTATAGGTGGATGTCAATAAACTTTGACCCACAATGATGTAATGACTTTGATGCAAAGTCCAAGCTCCTATTGCAGGGTCAATGCTACAGACGTACTGTTCAGGAACGAGGAGCTTGCCTTCCCACCTGGGGGAGTCTTGTAGACCTCATGACACATAACATGGTTGCACTGACAACATTGTCGGCACCTTTCAGACAGAGAAAGAACTAAAAAGAAAAAGGGTGATGGTAAGGGTGTGTTGTTCAAGAAGAGAAAGTGGTGGCTACATCTGCATTGTTCAGGATGCGGTACAGCCAGGTGAGCAGCAGTCGGTGCTGCTAAAACCACTCGTGCCCTGCCTGACCTGAGCGACATGCTGACTGTCTGACAGCCTCTGAGGTTGAGCCCTGGCTGGCCTGGAGGCTGCCCTTTTGGGAGAGGGCAGGAGCAAGAAGGTAAGGAAAAAAGGGCGAGAGAGGGATCACTCGACTCAGCCTCTGGGAAATTTCCCTTTCAGTGAGAAAGAAGGCATGAGTGGTCCTGCCATGTTCAAATACAGTCATTTCTATGCAACAGAATGTGGCTGAACCCCTGCCATATGCAGAATAAAAATAAATCAGATTTTGGCACACTATAAGCAGAAGCAAAATACCCACTGACAACCAGAAGGTAATTTTGGCCTCAGCTATTATGTTTTCTAAGCAAGAAGCACAAGTCGGTAACATGACTACCTCCCTCTATGAAGCAAACACGTTGTATTTGGTAATCTTTTCAGGGGTGTATTTCTTCACCTTCAATATGATGAAACATGAAGATGTGGAGGAAGTGTACGTGTACCTGATGCATAATGGTAATACAGTTTTCAGCTTATATAGGTAAGTGAAGGGCCAGGTCATTTTAATGCAAAAGACATGTTTGCACAGATGTGATAGCTTGTTCACATTTCAAGAAACATGAAATTGTTAATTTTTTGAAGAAACTCTGTAGGGTAAAATAACCAACAAAGAAAAACTATTGTATTTTGCCCTCCTCAACTTGCAGGTTTGGATCATACCTGCCACAGATCCTGGACCTAAAATTCAGCCTTGATCACAAGTTCTCAAAGCTCAGGGGAAAGGAATTAGCACTGCAAGTCAGGGTTGGAGTCCAGTGGTAACATGCTGTCATTCTGCTAAAACGTATCTTCACCCTCATTTTGCCTGTCAGGCTAGAAAGTCTTGTTAAAGATTAGGGGAGAGCAATTTTCTTTAAAGGTGGAGAGCATTTAAACTGCAGTCGTAAGTATGAGTAAGAAGCAATGGTCCTCCATTTACTGGCTTTGTTATCATTAGCACACTTGGAATAAAATAATTCTGGACTCTTTATGTTAGCTGGAGGATCATCAAGAATAGGATTCACTTCTAGCTTATCAACTTCTATAAGGACCAGGTCAAGAAGCTTGTAGCCAGATGGATAGCTGAAAAAAATACGTTTGGACAAAACTGTTATTTAATACCAACCAGGGGCCTGATGCCAAAACCAAGCTTCTCTCCTGAGCCTGAATAAACAGACACAAAAGCTTAGATTGATCACACTGGATTTTAGGCACTTAGATGATAGCAGGTTCATTTAAGCTGTCAGTTTCTTCAACAGCCCATACCTGAAGCACCACCAAAGGGTGCTTCATTCCCAATGGATATTTCCTGCAAAAGAAAAAGTGCCCATTTTTTTCCCCCTGAAGCATTGATGTCAGAAAAGGCAACAGGTGGAAGAAAGGGAACCAACACTCACGCAAAGCCAGCTGGTTAGCCCACATCAAATGTTATTTATGTTCCAATGAAAGGCCTCAGGGTGGAGTGAGCTGCCTGTCTCTGCCCACTGCCTGTGCTGGAAGCACAGGGTCTCAGCTCAAATGAGACTCCTGTCCTGGAGGCATTTAAAATTAGCTGGGATGAATCTAAGGGAAAAAGAGCATCACAGGAAATCTGGAGTGTTGTGATGAATGAGCAGAGTTTTATTTTAAACAACAAATCTATTCCTGTACCCTGGAAAAAAATACGTAAGTTAAACTTCCAGAATTTCAGAAAGGAATGAAATGATGCAATCAGGTAAGGTGCAAAATTTGACTAGGAGATCAAATGGCAGATCTTTGAGATCTTTGGCAGAAAGATTCCAAAATTTCTTCATAAAGCTGAAAAAATGTTGGCAAGCCTTTTGAGGAAGTTTTGCTCAGGATAACAAGGTGCTTTCCTGGATTCTTTTTTTTTAAAGTTGTTTGCTTGATCATTTTTGAGAAACAAAAAGCTGACTTGTTAAAATATTCATCCTTAGCTATGAATCAAAAGGGAAAGCAGACACTTCAGGAAACAGTGCAGTGCTAAAACTTGCCAAGGGAGATGAAGTTTGGCTGCGAATGGGAAATGGAGCCCTCCACGGGGACCATCAACGCTTCTCTACCTTTGCTGGGTTTCTTCTTTTTGAAACCAAGTAAAAAAAGAAACAACCCAGTAGATGTTTATCTGAGGAAACATCTTTTTTGGAACTGGTATTTTTCTCTGGACTGTGGAATAGCATTACAACACTGAAAGATCAAGAAGGCTTGTTTTGATGCAATGTGTTGCTATTTGTGTAACAGAGATGAGCTAAATACATTGGATAGTTGACACACAGATTCACAGACGATGTATTGTCATCTGGGTTGGATCTAATGAATCATTAAATGTTGCTATTGCTCTCTTCTCCAAAGTGACTGAAAAACAAAGGAAAAGGAGTTTAAATAATTTAGAGAGCAGTTTGACAGTAAAGTCAATTTTGTCTGTAAATATACTTTAGTTAAGTATATGTCAGGAATTGAACAATTGATTCATGTTTTTCTGTTCGTTTATTCAGTTCTTATTACATGTTCATTTACATTTGCATCATGGAAACAGGCCTGAATGAATTGTAAGTAGGCTCAGCTGAGATCAGACTTAAAGGAAGAAGTTTATACTGGACTAGAATGAACTTTACAAATACAGGAAAAAAATGTGAAAATAAAGATGTCGAGGATTCAGGTTTATTGCATTCCCATCTCAAACCTCTGAAGATGTATCTGGTGTCATTTTTCACAGATTTTTAGTACATATTTATGCTTACTCTCTCTCTTAAAAAAAGAGTGGTAGTAGTTCTTGCCTTAATAGCAGCTTGAAGCTAAGGTAATTTAGCCTACAGTGTGCAGGGGATCAGACAGGGGAACTGTAATGTTTCTTCCTAGCCTTCAAATTCTTAAAACTTGATGTAACTGAATGAAAGGTGTCAAAGCAGAGGCATATATGCTGGAGAAGTTGGGATATGCCAACAGCACAAACAGAGAAATGCATGCTTTGTGGAGTTTGGAGCTCTTCTAGAAGGATGTACCTTTTAATATTGCATATTTACTTTACAGTGAACTTGTTGATACAGTTTTCCTACCAGCCTTCCAAGAATCAGTATTTCAGGAAAAGACATTGCAGCCTGGCAAAGCAGCAGCTAACCCTGTTCAGTATTTAACTGGTGAAAGCCAACACTGGCTGTCTCAGAAGTTCTGGTCACAGTAAACTGGGCCATTCTTCAACATTAGTATTTGCCACCGGCTTTTTAAAATTTGGGTACCTGAAATCCTGTCTTGCTATTTTCTTTTCATCACAATCAGCACCAAACACACTAAGCTAAAAGAGGGTAGATTTAGATTAGATACAAGGAAGAAATTCTTCACTATGAGGGTGGTGAGGCACTGGAACAGGTTGCCCAGAGAAGTTGTGGATGCCCCATCCTGGAAGTGCTCAAGGCCAGGCTGGACGGGGCTTTGAGCAACCTGGTCTAGTGGAAGGTGTCCCTGCCCATGGCAGGGGGGTTGGAACTACATGATCTTTAAGGTCCCTTCCAACCCAAACCATTCTATGGTTCTATATGATTCTATGAATACTGAAGCTTGAATGTATCTTCTGCACATTCTGGCTCTCCACACACAAGCTAATGAAATATAAATTACATTTTAACATACATTACATTTTAACCAGACATTACCTGCCATTAATGTATTACAAGTAGGTGGGGTTAGGAAAACATTTATTTGAAATTCTTTTTTACTGGATACAGATACCAGTATCATGACAATAGAGCAAATGAATCAAAATCTGCCGTATGAATTTGTATGTCCTTATACACGTTCCTAGTGTATGTAAACCACATCTTACAATGAAAAATGCATGTTGATACTTGATGATTATGACTTGTGATTTTTTAGTTTTATGCATCAACCACTGAAAATATTAGCTTTAACGAACTGCCGTCCAATGAGTTTCTTTATGAATTTGGGTCAGGTTTGCACCACATCATAGGTTTTCAAAACCTGAGACCATGTTATTTTAATAAGCATTTTAGGAAAATTCTGGCATGCCTTTGAGCTAAAACCCACCTGCCAGGTAATCAGATAATGTAATTCTTTGGAAATAAATGCACAAGTTGTATAAGATATACGGCATCATGAGCTAATGTTCACAGTAGGAAAAATCTTGAAAAAAGTATTTCTTGTTGCATTAGGAATGTTTGCTTACTTTGTAACACATACATTTAGCCAATAAAGTTTAATAGTCATAAAACTATACTGGTTTGTTCATATCTATATTTATCAAGGACCTTACCATTTGGAGACTATGGAGATATATTCTTAATGTGTATTTCCTAAGCATTCATTTTGCTACTGAACAGGAGAAAGCCAGCACTAAGGGTCAAAATATATTTATTTTACAATTTTCCTTTATGGCATGGCCATTCAATCCACTTTGGTCAGAATAAAGCACTTAGAGACTATGATACATACACTCATTTTAAGCTCCTTCACATTATCTCTTGTATGGCCATGATATAAAAGAAAGACAAGTTTTGCCATTCTCATTTTATGTTGTTTTCACAAGTTTTTTGCAACTTGGCCTGCTAAAAGCAGAAAGCAACTAAGAATCACCACAAAAGCTTCTGACAAACAAACAGCAGCATGGTCTTAGTTCCAAGGTTAAAGCTAAGAGGTTTTTTACATCAAGGTTGACACTTCCTAGTTTTTGAATGAAATCTCTGCAGTCTTTTCTCTGCAAAGTTACTGCATGCAATCTCTGCTGACTGCATGTTGTAATACTTTACAAATAAATTGTTAACTTACATATTAATTTCAAAGATCCTTCAAAATATAGCAGCTGAAGTAAAAATCTTTGTGTGTGTGTGTGTTCCTGTTCCTCAAAATTATTGAGTTATATATTCAGTAAGTCATGTGGAATGTATGTTTTTTCTCAGAAATGTTTATGAAAATTAGTCATCTTTCCGTTGCTGCTGATAATTGAAAGCCTCTTGCTTAGCAGATGCTCAAGACAAAATGTCTTCTGTCAGAGACTTTTGTCCTCTGTAATAAAATAGGTGGTCTCTTGTAATTTCTGTTATGAGTGAGAAACCTTCTGGAAACTCAAAAGCCGCAATTTGGAGTATACTTAATGGTTTCTTGTCTTTGCTAAGCTGAGTCTATATCTCCTTCTCCCACTTCATGAGCTCCCAGATTTAACCAAAACTTGGCAAGAGCTGCAAGCCGCTGCCTGCCACAGAGCTGTGGTTTGGTAGGCGATATTCTGCCTCTGTGGTAGGAGCTGGCATCCCAGCAGGAGAAAACACTGCCTCACACAGAGACAAGTTGAGCTCTGCTCTGTGTGAAACACCAGCCCCCACTCTTGGTCCTCCCTTCCCCCTGAGACCGAGGGACTGCTGTCCTTCCCCGTGACACCCTTGCAAAGTAGCAGCTCTCATCTCCAGCTGCATTAGGAGCTTTAAGGGCTACATTTTGCAAAACGGGGCTGCGTGCCACTTGAGAGATGCTGGTTGGACCCCCTTGGCAGAGGTAAAACACAACTTCTGTGTGAGAAAAACATGAACTAGAATGAAACCTAACTGAAGGAAAACATCTTAGGTCTGGGTCCCAGTTTCACAAGTGGTGTTTAAAGAAAGCAGGAAGCAGCTCAGTTTACTCTAATTAGAAATCCTTGAGAAAAAATCTGTCTATGATTTTAGTTTCACAGGCTAGTCCATGGCCTGAGGGTGACTGAATTGATGCTGAGAAAGCAATTTAGACTGACAACAGTTTGCAGCCTCAGTCCCTTGTGAAAACCTTGTGAGTCAAAGGGAGGGCTTTAAATAAAGTAACATTTTTCTAAAGGGAAAATAAGGAACACACTCTTCACTCAGATCTTTCATCTTCCCCATGAAATTTTGCACTGTTTCCTACATAACACCCTGCTTTCTGGAGCAGTTTTTAATAAAATTGGTTTTTTTTATTAAAACTGTTTTTTCTCCTACTTAGCTCACATTATTAAAATGATGTTTTGTGCTCAGAACCAAAAAAATCACACAGGAACAAAACATGCAGGGAGTCGCTGAGTGGTGTGTGAAAAGGCCCACAGTTCTTAATTTTGGTGAATCATCAGCAAAATGTCTCTATTTTGCAGTTAGTTCTGCGTCAGCAACCAAAGGAGATAAAAACTGACAGTGATCAGTTCAGATTTAAAAATCTGAGGTAACAAAAGAAATTGTGCAAAGCAGTGCTCCAGGCTGGGTGTCATACTCGGATACCAATGACGAAAGACACAAACTCTAGAAACTATCTTCATAAATTAAAAGAAGTCAATACAATGTGCATTTCTTAGTATGACCAGGTTCCCTCCTACACCAAAGGGCGATAGCTCCTTTAGTCTTTGGGCCAAACCACACAGTCCTAGCAGGAGTTAGAGCATCTGCAGTGCCATGTTAATTTTCATTATCAAATAGTTTCCTTGAGGGAATTATGCAGCACAGCAGCAGCAGCAAGAGAACGGCCATACTTCCCACGCCTCATCCCCCTGCTTTCTAGTTAAATTGATACTAAAACCCAAAACTGTGCCAGAGTCTGTTCTCTGGCCCAGAGTTATCATCTGACTATGTTAATGCTAATTAAACTCTCTCAGCCTCCACAGCAGGGTGCCTGCTTGTAAAACTGTCTGTTGGGACTGATCCCTGGCTTGCGCTAACTTTCAAGTCGTACTCAAGAAAAGTTGGGGAGATAGCTCTTTGTCATGGGCTAAAGGCATTCTCAGGACCATTCTGCTAACGTAGTAGTATAACCCATCAAATCTGGTAACACAACACTACAATTCAGCAATTCCCAGACATGGAAATTCCTGTTGCTGTTTAATTCACTAGTGTGTACATCGTCCCTGAGTATCTTGCAGGCTGAACAAGGACTGATAATAGGTGTGGGAAGAGACTATGCTGGCTTCTTGACATTGCAAATTCCTCCCGACAGGAGTGACTGGCTAGGTCACTCTTTTCTACCATTGATGAAATCAGCGCATAGATTTTGGCATGAGGACTGTAAAGATGACAGTGGAAGAGGCTCAATATTGTGCATCTGCATTTGAAATACGGCAGGGCATCCTCCATGAACACATTCACAAAATAATAAAACCCATGTGGTGCAGGGTTTTATTAAACAAAGAGACTTCTTGTGTTAACTGGTGAAAAATTGCACAAGTGCAGTTTTGCTTTTCTGAAAACAATCCAGCAGATGTGAAAAATTCCACAAAAAGCAGTGTTCTAAAAGAATCACACTGTTACAACACCAAAAATGGAAATGCCCCTGTTAAAATCATTGTTGACCTCTTAGCTCCTGTTTCCTGTGAATGTGTCTCACAGTATGTTCTTCCCATCATGAAGTCACATGCTACTTCTTGGCCTCATCCAGCAGCAATTATATGATGCTTGCTGAATAAGGCATGGGCCATATACTGGAATGTGATAGCAAGAGATGAATATAGAACAGCTTCATTCAGCAACTTCATCCAAATATATAGTTAATGAAGCACCGTTACTACAGAAAATAGAGCATACTAATATGTAGGAAAGAACAGAGGCATTACATCCACAGCAGCAACCTTCATTTTAGCATTTTCTAAGTTTCTTAGAAAGAGCTTCATTTTTCAATCTTAGCAATTCTTTGAAAGAAAAACACTCCAGGCTGTTACAGCACACTAAAGTTGATGAGAGTCAAGGAAGTCCATAAGGACTGGAACTTCAGGCCGGGAGATGGGAATTCAGATTTTGTGCCATTCTGTCATGTGAAAAGTCCTGGTGTGCAGCTGAAAGTGCTGCATGGAATTTAATTTGTCTCCTGCTCATCTTTTAAACTAGAAAAGAGTAGAAGTATGATTGTTTTGAATAAAATCTTTCAGACACTGCGTCACTTCAGATCAATGCTTTCTTCCCTCCAAGACTACCTGCTTCTCAGAATGGTCCACGTTTGCTTTCTCAAATTATCAAAGGCACACAAAATAAAGAACATGACTTAGGTATGCCACAGGTAAGGCGCAAATAAATGGCTCATGGGCAAGGTGATGGAAACAGTTCATAAAAACAAAGACTTATCAATCCATCTTACTAGCAATGCAGGAGAAATTGTCTTTAATGAATGTGGTAGACAACACTATCCCACAGGAATGGCTCACTGGAAATAAGTTAGAGCAGGATGGCCAAGCGGTAGTTCATAGAATAGTTTGGGTTGGAAGGGACCTCTAAAGGTCATCTAGTCCAACCCCCCTGCCGTGGGCAGGGACATCTTCAACTAGATCAGGTTGCTCAGGGCCCCGTCCAACCTGACCTGGAATGTTTCCAGGGATGGGGCATCCACCACCTCTCTGGGCAACCTGTGC